TATTGTCTTACTGAACAAAAACTCGCGGCTTTTTTAGTGGATTTCAAAGACTTATCTGTAGGTTTTTAAGGCTTTGTGTGTATGTGATTCAAACCAACAACAACAACAAAAAAAAACAATACCACCCACTCACCGGAGAGCTTATTGGGTTCTTTTAAAAGGAGGAGCCCGTGGTAACAAACACTGCCGGTTCATTCGCGTCTAGCTTTTGTAACATGCATGACCTTCCATGTCTCTACACAGCTACGGAAACCCGCATCTGCCAAACATATTTCTGCCATCACAAAGAAAGTCAAGGAATTAACGTAGCGGAAAATCCAGCTCAGCTCAGGATTTGACCAGCTCAGAATCCCAGCTGGTCAAATCCTGTTTCTGGTCTAGCTGGTTATAGAGATGGTCAAGCTGGTACCCAAAATGGATGCTACCTGGTCAAGCAGGTCGGTGGGCTGGAAATCAAGTGGTCAGCTCGGCATTTGTTAAACTCCAGCTGGTTTTAGATGGTCAAACCAGCTATCAGTAGCAACCAACTACCAGCTGTCCAAAACATACTTTACCAGCTAGAGATTTATTTTTTGCTAGAGACAAATTGTAGCTGAATGTAAACCAACTTTTTATTTTTCTCCAAGTTCAATAGCATGCATATCAGTAGAAATTATACAGCAAAATATGCTATTATTGCTAGCACCACTACAGCTATTTTAGCCATCTTTCTGTTATAATCTATGTAAAGCGGTTTAACATTTAAAATGGTTTCATAATTACATAAGGTGTTTTCTTAATAAGCTTGATGATTTGCTTAGACCAACAAAATATACACAGCTTGATAAATACAGTGGTGCAGGCTCAAAATCATCTCACTTGCTATTATTTTATTAATTATATAACCCTAAAACTGACCATGTTAATATCTTGGACTACTTCTGGGACAAAATTAAAATGAACGTAAGAGGTGGTGTATATAGGACCAAGAGTTTTTACACAAGGTGTGGCGGGTGTAAGGAACAAGCCACCCATCGCAGTTGCTGTTTCCTTGTGTTAGGAACATCCATGAATTCTAATCGCTGTCTCTTCATTGGTGCAGTACCACCTACAGTTGAAGACCAGGGTGATGTCACATTGCTTCATGAACATATCCAAGTTCAGTCTATTTTCCCACGAAGTAAAGACTCTATACATAGAAGCAGCATTGACAGTTCATGAGAAGTGATCGTGTCAGCACGAGTGCCTGCCAATGACTTGGACAGACACCTGTCCCAAGAAATCCATATTGTGGCAACAATCAGCACAAGAAACACAACAAGAATTTGCCGAGGACAAATGGAGGAGCTGGCACTGGAGGAAACCATGAAAAACACTTGGATCCACTTGGATGATGAGACGGCAGCCATAGTGCGCTAGAACACTCACCACACATCAGCTATCAGTGGGGAGGAGAGCAGATTAATAAAGCCAATTCATAGATGGGGAACATTAGGAGGCCATGATTGGTAAGGGCCAATGGGAAATTTGACCAGGACGCTGGGGTTACATCCCTACTCTTTTCGAGAAACGTCCTGGGATTTTTAATGACCACAGAGGGTCAGGACCTCGGTTTTACGTCTCATCTGAAGGACGGCGCCTATTTACAGCATAGTGTCCCCGTCACTATACTGGGGCATTAGGACCTACATGGACTGCATGGTGAGCGCCCCCTGCTGGCCCCACTAACATCTCTTCCAGCAGCAACCTTAGTTTTTCCCAGGAGGTCTCTAATCCAGGTATTGACCAGGCTCACACCTGCTTAGCTTAATAATAGATCTCAATAATAGATTCTGGACTCTCAAAGTAAACTCAAAGGACCAGCACAAACTAGCCTTCTTTTTCAATAACCAACAGTATACCTGGACCAGATGCCCACTTGGGTACTTCAACTCTCCTGCAAAGTAACATTTTCCTCAGGAAGATGATACCATATGTGGCAACCAGGAAAATTTGAATCTATCTGGACAACACTTTGATTTGCAGTGAAAGCTTGCAAAAGAATTTACACACTCTTGTGTACGTGCTAAGTCGGTTCCAACAAACACCCTCTAAGATTTCACCCTCTAAGGGACAGTAGGGCTGTAGAAAGGTGGACTTGAAATGGGGTCCAGCGGTATTTGGTAAAGTCACACAGTCAGTGCCCTCAAGTCTCCCAACTCCTTAAGGGAACCAAAGAGTTTTCGGGGAGTGTGCAATTACTTCCACTAATTTGACTACTTTTAGAATTGAAAAAAATCCCCTTTAAATTATTGAAGACAGGCGAGAACTAGGTGTAAGGTCCAGAACAAGAAAAAGCAATGCAGACTCTTAAAAAGGTGCATCACCCAAGCTTATCCTGCTTATCCTGAAAAGAACAGGGATTTTCACCTGGTAACTAGATTTACTGCATACAGTATACTGTGTGTAGTGTGAAAACCATTCTGGAAACATTTTTTCGAAAGTAAAGGTGGGGCAGGTATCAAGCAGCCACATCACCTCCTGAATCCTGGAAGTTGAAGCATTCCCAATGGAAATATGATACCCAACAAACATAATGCACTCACCCACAACTTGTCAGAACTCCATGACTGCATACAGACTGGCACTAAACTCAGAGAAGGAAGGCAGACCTTGCACGAAGAAAGAATCAGCAGAACCTTTCCTATCAGTCTGTCTTTCCCTCTCATAATCTTTTCCAATTGCATGGATGCAGTCGTCTCCTCTCTTCCAAACAGCTTCAATATAGAGTATTCTGTAGATTAGTTCTAATTATTATTTCCAAAACATTTCATGTAAGTCATGATTTTTTTCATCTGTAGCTTCTTGGATCAGTTCTGTAGTTCTTTTGGATAGGTATTGCTTTAGCAATTGTCCAGTCTCATTGGAGCTAAACCTAGCTTGTTAGAAGAGCTGCGTCAATGGCTTATGAATAAGAAGACCACTTTATGTAGTCATTGTTGTCGTACTGTACAATGTATGGAAATAATTTTTCTTTTTTGGCCTGGAGAAATGTAAAATGTTTCTTGTTCAACGATTTAGCCAATTAAGAAACCAAGATATTTGTGTGAAACAATACAGTATGAGAAGGTGTGACAGCCATTGAGGAATTGAGACTCATTCCTCTCACTAGGTTGGTGGGGCCCAGCTCCACCCACAGCGATGTCTTCATCTTCTACAACATTACCCGAGGAGACTGTATGGGCAACCACAGTTTGGCTGTACCATTATGAGCTTTAGGAAGGTTGATGCTTCACTGTCCTTAAAACCACAGAGAAGAAGAAGCTGTTAATTGGTAGCCTGCAGGTGGTGCTGGAACACTTATCAGAGGGATTAACAAATGTATATTTTCTAGACCCAATCAGCAAAGACAGATTCTTTACAGTTGAATGTTTCACATTGCTGTGCATCCTTGGCAAAAAGTGAACTGTGAAGGTACAGTAGCAGCTTTTGTGATCTACACCTTCAAACTACAAGGCAGCTGTGATGTATGGTTTCATAATTTCAGAACAATAAAGCAGGGGTTTCATCCTGTTTTTACTCTAGGCCACTAAATTGCATAATTATCCTATAATCTCATTTATTTCATTTCATAAAGTCCATCTCCAATCCAGGCTCATGTTTCTTTTTTTTGCCCAGACAAATGAAGAGGCAGCTACAAAGCTCTAGTTTCTAATACTTTCAAACATTCAGTAGATGAAATGCTGAAGAGGAAATGTTACTGTAAATTTTTTTTTGTTGCTATTAGGTTTTAAAGTGATTATTTGGTGTGTCCTTCAGAGTAGTATGGTTGTCCCAAAGGCCAGAGGGCCCAAGCAGAACTGGCGTTCATTCGCATTTTCTGTGTAGAAACGGAATGATTACAAATGACCTGTTAAGTCGAGCACTTAAATGCATTTTAACCATGTTTGAAACTTTTCAGAAACGCTTACATTTGAACGTTAACAACGAATGAGAGAGAAAGAGAGCTTGTTATGTGTGTGTTATGTGATTTTTAAACATTACTTTCAAACATTCAACTTAAAATTTCTGTTAAGTGTTTCGCATACGTATAGTTCACAAAGATGAAAGCAACATGGCAAATACTTTTAATCATTTATGTTCTGCATAAATTATACGATAGTACTACATAAAGTTACATTAGATGCTGTATATACTGTATGATAAACAGGGAAATCTAAGACTGTATATAGTAATATTACTTAAATATATCAACAATCTGTGTGCTTTTCTCAACATTATGCTGAACTTATTAGGGCACTTTTGAGTTCAGAGAACATAAATCCAAGGCATACAATAGACTTGTTTTACATAAGCATTTCAAACATATTTTATAGTGATAAAAAATGCAGCAATATATAATATCTACAATAATTGTGATAGAAATCTATGTTTGAAGATTGTACTAGACATTTGTCTTTTTTTTTTAGGTGATGTAAAGTTGGGGAATCTTTATGTCCATGGTCACAAAAAGTAAAGGCTGAGAGACATTAAGTGAGGATCCCCTGTATATAAGCATCATCACTGCAGGCAGTGAACATCTCAGCTCACATCAACTCACCATCAAATTTAAAGAAACATGGAGGTTTACTTTAGAAGAGTAATGGTAATCTACAGGTAGTTTCAAAACAGAATTTAATCATTTTAACATTTGGCCATAGTATAAGTTTACAGTTTAGTGGACTAAAACATTCATGTATTGTTTTATTTGTGTATACAATATAACTTATTTAAATTCTTTATTTTAGATTTAAATGAAATTAACCCTAACCCTAACAGTACTCCACTGAATAATTTTAGCCAACTAGCCCTGTATACAGGATCCATCATATTGGTCATTCTTCACCTATTTGAATATTCAAAAGACTTTGAAGTAGTACACTATTGGAATGTGTTTTTGTATCATTCTCTACCCAAATTGTAATGTCAGAATTCCTAAAAATACAGATTAATTCCTGCTTTTTCAGAAAACTTCTAACAATCAATACAAACACACACAAAACTAAATTCATGAAGGTTTTAATATTCTGCATCAATAAACATGAGAATCTGGTACAATGAGAATCAATGATTACAATTTCAAATATATGTAAAATAAAAACAGTTTTGTTTGTTGATTGCTTTCTTCAAGCAAGTGACACTGAAATGAATGGCAAGGCCTTAATTTGAACTTAATTTACAATAAAAAAGAAAAAATGGCCTTTTGAGTTTGTAATCTCTGCTAATTCCATTATACATACCCACTGTTTACTTAAGACAAAAAAGTCAGTCCATTCAGTTGTTCGTACTGTCGGTTAGAAGACCATAAGGGAGTATTGTGTTGTTCTTAGAATCAAAGCCCAGATCAGCACGGATATACACAGAGGACCAAACAGAAACTGCCCAGGGATCAGGGTTTAGCAGGTGTTCCTACCTATTCCTCTGAAGGACCGTGGCAAACCACCTTCTTAACAATTCTGATTGGAAGAAAATTAAAGTCAACTACAGAGTTGAGACAGTCAGCCACAGACCAACAACAGAACAGATTGAAAGGTTCTGCATTTAAGCAACATCACCTCCAAACACTGAAATCTCTAAAGGAAAGAGTGGGAGCATCTGGTATGACTATTTATGCAGAGGCATTGAAGGAACATCATCACCTCAGCAGCAGCCATCAGCAGCCAAGAGAAGTTCCTAATGTTCTACTTACTCAATAGCCCAAACTTAAAACAGCATCCCGTGCCAACAGTCCAAAGCCTTGTGCCTTTTGTCACATTTAACAGAGGAAAAAAAAATGAGGTTTCCCTACATGCTAACCTCACTCAAAGCATGCCTTGAGAGAAAACTAGCCCGTTTTGAAAACCGTATCTCTGCAAAGTGACGACTTGCAGCGTCAGATCCTTAAAGGCTTGTGGCGCTTGTCCTGGTAATGGTGTATCAGTTGCTGATCTTGCTTTTTCTTCATTTGTTTATTTGTGAGGTGGCCGAGAAAAATGGAGAGAAACTTAAGAGAATGGGGCTCAGCTCACGAGGGGTAAGATTAATGTTTCTTGATGTCTGGCTGAAGAGATCAGTCACAGCCTCAGAGAGCTACTATTGCCAGGAAGGAAACCAAGAATAAAATAAAAAAGAATATATATAATATATAAATATTTATATACAGCTGTAGTTAGCTGTAGGCAAGCCAAGTCCTCCCCTCCATTCCACCAGTAAGGCCTTTTGAGCTCCTCCTATATTTCAGCCTTTCCCCAAGTTGCCAGATTCCCTGAGATAAAGACTGCTGTATGTTTTCAAGGTCCATCCCATCCAGACCACCCTGGAAAAAAAACGCATCCTTCAGGGTTTCCTTTGAGACTGTGTGTGAGAGATGGTGGGAGGGTAATTTGCAGTGTGGTGGTGGTATTTGTTGGGGAGGGGGGGGGACAAAAATGTTGTTGGTGGTGGCAAGGAACACAGTTCTGAGAGTTTTTTTTTACTTCAAAAATGCAAAGCTGAGTACGTAGTCAATCATTCAAAGGCTTTTCAATGAGGTGTGGTTCATAAGCAGTTCTGGCTGAAGGCTCTGCGTTTCGCATCTCTCCCCCTGGGTCCTCAGTGTTTGTTGGCAGCCAGGCGTTTCAACAGAGGTTCATCATAAACCCAGCATTCCCCATCCTCATGGAAAAGCTGCAGGAGACACAGAACAAGCCAAAAGACTCAGTGACACTGAACACAAACAGAGCCTTCCTTGCTGTTTCAAGGGAGTAACCTTTGAGATAGCAGACACTAATTGCATTACAGAAAAGACACAGACACTCTGAATGCAATAGGCTTATGCAGGGCCTGACACGTACATATTTGAAGAACTGTTATTTCTAACCAATGTGTGAAGGAAGTCTGGAACTATTACCCCATTTTTAGGGTTACCCATTTTTTATATAGAACACCTTTATACACTGCTCGATTTACAGCGCTTTGCAAAATTATCCACTCCAGTCCATTGAACATCTTAATCCAATGTTCCATGTCTAGATTTAACACCTGCGGCATGGAACGTGTCATTAACGTCTTTCACCCATAAAACTGAAAAGTTTCTACATTCACATTTCAAATAAAAATATTCTCCTTAAAAAGTGTATAAATTACTTATAATTCAACAAAATTGGATACCAACGGAAATGGGATAAATACTTTTCCAAAGCGCTGTCTTCTAAGACGTAGAGGTATTGAGCTAAGTCAATTACCAGTCAAATGTGGGTTGTGTAATTTGCCTATTCAGAACCTATACTTGTTGTTCTACCTATAAATGGCTGGTTTGCCATGTATATTTGAAAGATATCACTTAAAAATAAGTTAAAATCTGAGCTGTTTTTGTATAGATAAAATGAAGACTTAGTTAAAAAAATGCCATTTTAATCAGTGCCAGTATTTTTCAGGTTGCTTTGGAAAATGGTCAACAATATTTTCAACACTGCTTGACAGACAAAGTAATAAATGCAGGAATCCACTAAAAACCTCCTATATGTCCAGGCCCTGAGTCCTATTCCTATATCTGACATAGTAAGCAAGCAGTAAAGTAATGCGGACAAACAAACATTATCCTGCTGTGCACAAAACAACAGGGTAACAATTCAGGGCTTTGGCTAGTTGATACTAGATTATGGGTTCTGACAAAAGAAAAGGTTTTAATGTCCTACAAAAGAGTCGAGAGTGCACCCTTAACGGATGAATTCCTGAAGGACTTTTAGTTAATCACTTTGGTTACATAGCAGGGCAAACACAGGCTTTTGTAGATGAATACTTCCAAAGAAGGTTAGAGTATTTTAAAGCAGGGGGTTCTTAATCTTTTTTTGTGAGCCCACACAACTGCTGGTTTTCTAACCGGTACAAAAATTAATTGAATCCTAAATTGAAATAACAAGTGGCATGATATTGTATTGTATGATTTTGTGGCTTGTATTCTTTTGCAAGCTTTTCCAAGTATTTCTTTTCCAATTCAAGGACTCAACTCAACTTGGAGATCGAAGGTACTTAAGAAACAATTGTTAAAAGGCAACTTACAACATGTTTAGGAACTGAAAACGGAATTCAAATAAATCCTATTATTCAGTCAAATAAGAGTTCAATATTGCAACCAAATGCACTGTTGAAATGAATAATGAAAAAAGTGTGTTCCCAGGACCAGCGCAGAGTACCCCTGGTTTAAAGAAACATGATTTATGGCGACTGTGAGCCCCTGATTTAAAGAATGCAGCTGTATGGATATTATGGATACCCAGGTTTAAATAATGCAGTCATATGGGTACTTTTAAACCCTGGATTAAAGAACACTGTCATACAGCGACAGTGAACAGGAACTGTTCAGGCATAATTTGGCTTAACAAGATGCCAACAATGTCAAGTCCTCCTGTAGAAAAGCTCTCCTTACCCTCGTCTCCCACTGCATCTCTTTTTCCTTCCTCTCTCGGGCCTCGGCCCTCTGTTTCTCCTCCAGTCTGTGCTTTGCCTCTGTTGCAGAGTCAATATCCTTCAGCTTTAAATTCACTGTAACATCCTTCCACAGCCTGCAAGAGAATCAAGGTACTAATGAATCTGAAAACGGGAAAATTCCATAGGTAATGTTATTTTGGCTAATGGAAAGCAGCTTAATTATTTTGTAACACTGTACGGACATTATTCTGTTAAGTTTACATTTACAACAACTAGTTAGCAGATAGATTTACATCTGCATTGAAGATTGGATTGATTTCTTTATGCAATCTTCTTTTGCCTTTTCGAAATTCAGTGATCACCCTTTATCTTGCCATGAATCCTCCTGATTTGAACCACCAGAACTGTCAAGTCTCTCAGGCAGAGCTGGAGATATCATGTATTTTGTCCTAATCAAACCTGAGAGCCTGGGGAATCTTGTCTCATGTAAAAAGGTTAAATGCTAAAGGTGGGTTTTTATTGGCTGGCCCACCAGACATGACTTAAAATTTGTTGCAAGAAATTGTGCTAGCCAAACTCTGCGCAATTTACAATCTACCAGGCTTTACGCAATCTGACCTTGTCGTAGAATCCTATCTTGACTGTAACAATATACTATACTACACTATATACTTATTTCCTTTATTTGATGGTCAGTGAACCTTGCCGTTTTTTTTGCAGTGTTCTACAAACAAGGGGCACTTTCACACTTTACCCACTGTGGACTCTGATATGCAGTTTTCCTAACTGATCAAAGGTGAAGGCTCTCTTGGAGAGAGATGTACACTGAAATAGAACACTATGCATAATCACCACAGGTGCAAGTTTTCACTCCCATCACAGGTGAAATGTGCAATTCATAGCAATCCCCTAGCAGAATTATATCCAGCCAAGTAGAGTACACCTCCAACCTAAATACAGAGGTTTGACAACAGACTTTTACGAAGGTGAGGACTGAGCTTTGATGATTCATTTGCTATGTTGTACAAGTAATTTCCACCAAATCTGAAAGAAAAAAAGAAAAACTATAGATGCAAGGAATTACTCACTTCCGAGACTCAAATTCCTGTTGGTCCTCCAGCTTTCTGACCTTCTTCTTGATGGTGCTCATCTTCTTCGTATCTATGAACAGCGTATTCTCCTGGACGACATGATAAAACACGTGCCGAGATCATGGCACTGCTGCAGAAACTGCAGTATTGCCTCCCAGTTCCAAGTTCCCTTAATTATTGAACTGTAAACATTGTTTGATCTCGGTAAAATCTTTGCACAACATTGGATATGCAGAAAAACTCTTTTCAGAATATAAAACTTTGAATAGGATTACAGAAGCACATTTTTGAAAGAATTTCTAAAGGGGAATAGTTTTAAATGTCCAGGCTTAAAATATGAAGGGGTTTTCTGACTAGCTGGTATCCGAATTCCAAACTAGCATTCGATAAGAGGAGAAAATCCAATCAAAAGAAATTTGAAACAATGAATATGAAGCAATGAAATGCAGTAGGACCACTGTATTTCCATGAACTGAAAGACTTTAATTATAAGGACAGACATCCCACACTCACCCCTGTAGCCAACTTTGCAAACATCACACCGTTCCACTCGCCCTCAACTGAGCAGAAGGACTTTTTATCGTTTGGGGCACTGCAAAAAGTATGGACAAGATTAAAATGTTGATGCGGTTGTTGGGTTTGAGCTGATGTCAATACAAATGTCTCAAAACAGTACATAATACTTTATGACAGGTATCCCTGAATGGTCATTTGTGCAACAGAGCATGATGGCTAGAGAGGAGACGAGAACTATATTATACACAGGCTGGCTCTTTTTCAATGTTTATATTTTTTCTATGCACAAAATACAATAATAAACACTTGACTTTTAATCTGAAGAGATTCTGTCATATTAATGAAAGTGTTTAACTGTCCATTGCCTGTGCACCTAACATTTTAATAAAAGACTTTCCTTCAGAAAACACAAATATTCCTTAACCACTACTCCATTGTTCCTAAAGGCTAAGCGGATTTTTAAACTGATGTGCCTGAGTAAAGAGTACTCATTATAACATAGCTCAGGAGGTGAGGCAGGTTTTGAGTGTATTTGTGTTTTGTAAATTAAGTAAGGAGGGAGGGGTAGGATCCTTCTAGCATGCAGACACCATAAATTAAGTGATATGAGGTGGCTTTAATTTGGGATTTGCACACACAGAGATAAACTTCTAGAGGGGTCATCACTTTAAATGAGCAAGCTCTGCTACCTCTGCTCAGAAAAATGTTTAGAAGTCAAGAACAGCTTACACAAAATTAATTTAAAGAAGGCAAGCAATCTGTTATAGTAATTTGTGCACAGCAACAATATAAATCTAAACCTGACTATAAACTTGGGACAATCCATTCTCTAAATGCATATAGATGCACCTTTCAGAAAGAGACCCAATTATTATGTAATGTATATTCTTAAAACCCCGAGATTAGATTACTTTTTGTTATGCATAATTTTGGAATGATTCATTATTTTATGTTTGACTTCTGATTTATTCACCTGGCTCATCACTACGGCCTCCTTACACACCAGGCAAGATAAAAAGAGCAAACAATTCACAAAATCATCCTTTGTCATGCTGACCATGTCTTTTGCCCAATGGATATGAAAGGGAGAGCTGTCAAGACCTGAGTAACACTTGCTCATAACTGCCTGGGCAGCAATAGGCAGGCAGGCAGGCTCACTGGTGTGCAGGAAGTCTAAGCTAATTTATACCCCCAGACAATTACTGCATGTGTCCCGAAAGCCCCAGGACAAGGCTAACTGATTGCATAACCCATACTTGTACAGTGATTGCAAGGTCTACAGGGTCCAATGTGTGCTTGAAGTGGAGGTCTTTCCTTTCTGAGCTACTCAACAGCTCACGTCTGGATATTCCTCTTTAAATACTAAGGAAGAATCCTACAGTTGACTCGGAAACTTACAAAATTTCAGCTGTTATTCTGTGCTTCTTCCCACCATAGAAAGGTTTTGTGTGGAAAACAATGTTGGCGCTGTAGCCTGTTTTGGAGCAAGAGATATTGCACTCTCCTCCTAACTCTACCCAGGGCACTGTGAGAATGGACCTGAAAAGAAACAACTGCATGTCAAGATACTGCATACACCTGACAAATCGCAGGGAATTCTGCTTTCTGTTCACTGGTTTTCAAACATCAGATGTTCAGCAATGGATCAGTTACTTTCTAAAATGTTTTATTTTATAACAGTACAGAACGTTCTTAAATGATTGCTATCACAGAAAGAAATACATAATTCATAAAAGCATATACTCATTAGATTAAACGTAAGAAAACGTATTATAATAAGTAACAAGGGAAAGTGCCTACCTTCCATATCCGTTGGGGAAGGTAAGGATATAGTGTTCATCATACTCTAGACAAGACACACAGCCTGCAGACACAGGAAATAATTTGATGCTGTACAGGTAGATTCACTGTAACATCAGATCTGTAACTCCAGTAAGACTGATCAGACATTTACTGCTGACACTATTTCAGACACTGTAATAAAAAATGTTTCCTATACAATCCACTTTTAGATTTTTTTAGAGGAAGAGCTTGAAAGTGCTACATGTGCTAGTTGTGGGTTAATGCCTTGGGAGCAAAAGTCTGCTTTATATGAGCTAGCCACTTAAAGGCATATATGATACACAGGAGATCTTCACAATCATAAGGTTTCAAGGAGTCAAAAAGGATATGTTTGATCACAGCCCAAACCTAATGCATACCAGTAGCATGGAACACAGGTAAAAGAATACATACAGCACCAGAACCTAATCTGAGTTACCATGCAATTAGTTTTTAAAGGTGGATGAGGTAAAAAAAGGAGGTTAAGAAGTATGAGAACACAGAAATGCCTTTCATGAAAGTGTAGTAAAACTTCCTGTGAAATCTAGATAGAACGTACTTAAGACTGCAGAACAATATTAGAAGACAGCCAGATGATTAATGGCACACCATTCTACAGATAATGAAATATTTTGTACATTCCGACAGTAACTTTCTCCTTTCTATATATTGCTGCCTAACTGACTTGCAACAATCAGAGCAGCTCATCTTTCATTCTGGATGGAAAAGAAAGTTTAAATCTGAATATTGATGTTTTATTGACACAGTCACTGACAGTGCAATGCTGCATCATTATTGTGTGTTGAGACATCAGTATGTCTATCTCTTTCTTAATAAATGCTCAATTAGTTTTTCTGAACACGTGATTTCTACTATTGCAGGGCAAATTATATTTCTGGGCACTGGGATTGCAAAGATCTTTGAGCCGCACTAAACCCTCCCCAATTACAGCCATTAACATCATATTAAATTAGCATAATTAATTTAGAAAGGCCTGTTAAAATAATTTGATATTTATTTTATAGTTTGTTATCTGTTAAGGCAGTGGTTCTCAAACTGTGGTACGCGTACCTGCAGTGGTACGCGGAGTGCCGCCAGGCGGTACGCCAATGACCCTGGAACTGTGTTGTGTGCGCTGAAAATCGGGAAGGGTTTTCATATTTTGCATTTTAATACGTGTCGAATACGCAGCCTACGTACTAAGATACAGTGCGCACTAATACTTCACACAAGAGATACTCTGTAATTCTATACCACTCTATAGGAATGCGTGCTATGGATGCAAGTGACCAATTGTATTTAAAAAAAGCTACTGTATCTCCAGCAAATAGGGAGGTAGGAGAATGTGCGGGATTTTTGAAGAATGCCAATGTTGTAAACACAGGAATGCATAGAAATATGTGCTACGAATGCTGGTAATCTTGTGAGCACAGGAAAACGTGATAGATAACAGAAAAATATTTAAGAACTGTTCTAAGTTAATTTGAGAAAAATGCACAGAGCGTCTCTGTGTTTCGCTCCCATGCGCATGAAATAAAAACTTAAAATAAATACGGAAATAAAAACGGAAACGCAGAAAAATACAAACTTGCGGATTGCTAAAGCAGGTAAGCCCCACAGTATTTTTGAAGAACCTTATTTACCATTGGCAAAAGAGCGACACATATGTGTAGAGAAAAAGCTGCCCCCCCCCCGAAAGACACAGTCACTCATAGAATTATTTAAATGAAGGATTATATCAAAAGTAAGCTGATAGAGCATGTTAAGATGAGCAGATGTTTTTCACTGCAATTAGATGAGTCTGTAGTCGATTTGGCCAATTTGCTTGTTTAC